GTCTTTTGGCCACTTAAATGATCAGAAAAAATAATTTTATTGAGTTTGATTGAAGTTAATAGTCACATGTGATCATTGACTCCTATATTGAACAGCCTAGTTTTTTTTTTAAAGTTTAATTTCATTTTTTTTGTTTGGCAGTTAATAATTATGGACTAAAATGTCATTTTGATACATGCAAATATTATAGAATGATCAAATCATTGCTTCGTCCAATATTTTCTCATTGTAAGCCTAACACTTGCCATATAAACATATCAAAAATATTTTCCCTATTGCCAAGTGTCCCTGCTTTCCTTCAACACTACACAACATCTTTCATCCAGTTTATCTGAAAGGGGAGTGTGCTAGTCAACTTTTTATCACTGTAACCAAAACACCTGACAAGAATGATTTAGAGGAGGAAAAGCTTATTCTGAGTCTTGGTTTCAGAGGTTCAGTTCATGGTCAGTTGGCTCCATTTCTGTGGGTCCAAAGTAAGGTGGAACATCATGGCAGGAAGATGTCAATGGAGGAAAGATGCATGCCTCATGGAAGCTTGGAAGCACAGAGAGAAGGAAATGGGCTGCAAGAAAAGTATACCTTTCCAGTTTACACCCCCAGTGACCCACTTCCTCCAACCATGCTCCTCCTGCCCATAGTTACCACCGGGTTACTCCATTAAATTAGGTCAGACTAATCAGGTTGCAGATCTCATAATCTAATTGTCATCTCTGTATTTATGTATTAACACAGGCACTATGAAAGGACATCTTATATCCAAACCATAAAAGTAAGGGATCACCCTGTGCATTCATTAAGTAGGAATGAACTGCACTAAGCAAGAGAATGAGGAAAATTCTGGTAGTGTGACTAGCAGATCCAATGACAGAGAAATGCCTGGGAGATGAATTAGGAAAAGTTCACTTTCCCTGAAGAGCATATTCAACCCAAGTAGAACTTCATTAGTGTATCTATCAGTTCAAATATTTGTCATTTTGTTTGTGGTGAGAACATTCAAAATTCTCTTTTAGCTGTTCTGAAATAAATGCTACATGATTATTAACTATACTTATTGTAATGTGAAATCAAGCACCAGCATTTATTTATCCTTTCTAACTGTAAATTTGTATTCATTTACCAAAATATCTTCCTCCTCTTTTCCACATTAGCCTTTCATAACCACCATTCTACTATCTAATTATTTGAATTCAATTTTTATTTAAATTCCACCTGTAAGTTACTAGTCCATAGTTTCATCTATAGTACTCCATTGTGTACATATACCACATTTTTAAATACATTCATTCATTGATAGACAGTTGGTTTCCATATGTTCTCTTCTATGAACATTGCTAAATGAACAAGGGAGTTCAGATACCTCTTTGGCATACTGAGTTTAGTTATTTTGTGTTTATACTCAGAAGAGGGATTTCTGGATTATATGATAATTATATTTTTATTATTTTTTTGAGTAACCTTCAATCTGTTTTCCAAACAGCTAATTTAAAATACCAACAAGAGTGTGTAACTATTCCTTTTTGTCAACTTCTATGGCAACATAAATTATCTGTGATTTTTTTATAATATCAATTTTATCAAATGTGAACATATATCTCATTGTGACTTAATTAGTATTTCTCTGATGACTAGAGATGTTGAACACTTTTAACATCTGTTTAATATATGTTTATCTTCTTTAGATAAACATTCACTAAAGTCCTTTGCTCATTTTAATAGTTATTTACTTGTTGAGTAATTTGCATTCCTTACATATTTTGCATATTAGTTTAATAGCAAATGTATGATCGCAAATATTTTATCCCAGTCTGTGGGCTGTCTCTGCATTCTGTTTTTTGTTGTTGTTGTTGTTATTGTTGTTGTTTTTATTCCTATGCAGAAGATTTTTAGTTTGATGCGAACCCACTGACCTATTTTTGCTTTTATTATCTGTGTTTTAGAGTCATGTATAAGAAATCTCTGCCAAGACCAATGTCATTTTTGCTTTTAGTAGTTTCATAAACTGGGAGAGACGTTTAAATCATTAATCTACTTAAGTTAATTCCTGTATAAGGGGTGAAATAAAGGTCTATTTTCATTCTTCTGAATATGAATATCCACTTTTCCTAACCACATTTATCAAAGAGACCGCCTTTCCCCCATTGTGTAATCTTGGCATCTTTTTTGAAAATCAATCAACCATAGATGTGTGGGCTTATGTTTGGGATACTTAAATCAATGGTACTAACCCAAAGACATCTTGTCACTATTTTACCAAATTCTAGTAGCTTGCATAAGTAAGGGTAGATGTGGGTTTATAATCATTCTAATCAGATAAACACCTTGAATATTACTCATTTCATAAAAGAAGTCTTTTTTTCTATCTTTCCTTATGTTAATTAACACTGATTATGCAATTTTGGAGTGTGGATTGGAGATTAGTCTCAGAACTGCTGAATACTCAAAAATCTAAAATGATTGCAGAAGTGACAACTTTGGATGTAGATGAGAGTGTATTTGCTCCCTCAAATATATACATCATGATGTTTACATTGAATTATTTTCATTGATATTGTGACAATTAAAAACTACTTAAACAGAATAATAATGAGGATAATTTTTAGAAAATAATTTCTGTGCTTTGATTTGCATCAGAAACCATGACAGACTGAAATTGGAAAAGTGTAGCATACACCATATATAATTACAAAAGACCATATCTGATGAAAAAAAGAAAAGAAAATCAGCTGTTGCATGAACAACATAACATGACTATGATATCTGAATAGAGAAAAAGGTATGAGTTAAAACCCTAACCAACACAGCTGACTGCCTTAAGTCATCTTGGTAAACTCATTTAGGGGTTTAAACCCAAAACAATTCATAGCACATTAGAAGTCAGCATGTGTGCATGACAGGAATTGGTGGAAAATAATAATTAAAATATGGAAGTGTTCAGAGAAGGAGTTTCAAGGTATCTACCTAAGAATGTCCTCAAGTCTCTACTTTAAAACTAAATTACACATGCACAGGAATGACTGGAATACCTGGCAGAAAACAGCGATTTTGGAACTGTAATCAGAATTAATGATTCCAAGGTAACATGGTACTACAGGAAATATGAGCTTTTTTAAAAGTTTATATTAGTGCATTATAACCATACATAAGAGTGGGGCTCATTTTGACATAATTATGCACGCATGGAATATAGTTTGCTCCATTTCAGTCCCCAGTGCTTCATCTTTTCTCCCTCCTCCTTACCCTGTTCACTTTCCTCTACTCTACTGTTTATTCTATTTATTAATTTATTTTTACAGTGGTGCTTTACAGATGTACATTTACATTCGCTGTGACACATTCATATTTGTACATAGCATAATTTAGTCAATTACATTCCACAGTTCCTCCATTTTTCCTGGCCCCTCTCCCTTCCCTTCAATCATCTTCCTCTACTCTACTACTGACCCCCTTATATTTTCATGGGATCTCTTTTTACCCAAATTTCTTTGCTCTAACTTCTGCTTATGATAATAAACATTCAAACTTGATTTTCTGTGTTTAACTTATGTCACTAATCAGAGTACTTTTCAGCTCCATCCATTTACTTACTGCTAATGCTATTATTTAATTATTTATTATTTATACATGCCATATTTTCATTGTGTATACATGCCACATTTTTTATACATTCATGTATTGATGCACCCTTGGGCTATTCAATAACTTGTCATTGTGCTTCTACAAATATTGATATAGCTGTATCACTATAGTGTGCTGATTTTAGTTCTTTTGAATAAATACCAATGAATGATGTAGTTGGGTCATATGTTATTTCCATTCTAATCTTTTGAAGTTATTTTTATACTGCTTTCCAAAGTTCTATACAAATTTACACCCAACCAACAATGTATAAATGTACCTTTTATCCCCAATGTCTTCACAGTGTTTATTATTATTTGTATTTTTATAATTGTATTCTTATTGTAATAAGATGAACTAAATCTCAATGTAGTTTTAATTTGCATTTTCCTGATTACTGAGTATTCTGAACATTTATTTCATATATTTGTTGGTCATTTGTATTTCTTCCCTTCAGAAATGTCTGTTTAGTTCTTTTGATCAACTACTGATTGGTGTGTGTGTGTGTGTGTGTGTGTGTGTGTGTGTGTGTTATGTATCTTTAGTTCTTTGTATTATCTGGATATTAATCATCTGTCAGAGGAGTATTTGGCAAATATTTTCTCCTATTTTCTAGGCTCTTCTTTCAACATTTTATTTCATTTGCTATGCAAAACCTGTTAAATTTGATGTCATCTCACTTATTAATTCTTTGTTTTATTTCTTAAATTTTATGGGCCTTGTTAAGAAAGTCAATATGCTTCTGACAATATGTTGGAATGTTGAATCTATATTTTCTTCTAGCAATAGCAAAGTTTCTGATCTAGATCTTTGATCCACCTTAAGTAGACTTGTTTTGGGGGGGTGGAAGGGGGTACCAGGGATTGAACTCAGGGGCACTAGACCCATGAGCCACATTCCTAGACCTATTTTGTATTTCATTTAGGGACAGGGTCTCACTGAGTTGCTTAGCACCTCGCTGTTACGCTGTTACTGAGGCTGGCTTTGAACTCTTGATCCTCCTGCTTCAGCCTCCCAGGCTGCTTGGTTATGTAGACTTTTGCACAAGGTAAAAAATATGGATCTCGTTTTAATCAATATATGAATATCCAGTTTTCCCAGTCCCATTTTTAAAAATGCTATCTTTTTTTCCAACATACTTTTTTGGAACCTTTGTCAAATATCAGATGATTGTATCTGTGGTTTTGTCTCTGTGTATTCTATTTTATTGATCACCATGTATGTTTTGATGTCAATATCATGCTGGGTTTTTTTTAACTATAGCTGTCTAGTATAATTTGAGATAAGGTATTATATGCTTTCAGCTTTGCTCTTCTTGCTCAGTATTTAGCTATTTTCAGTCTTTAATGCTTTCAAATTAATTTTAGTACTTTTTCCCCTAGTTCTGGCTGATAAATAGATTCAGCAAAATAGCAGGATACAAGATCAGCATAAAACAACAACAACAACAGCAACAACAAAAAAGAGCTTCCCTGTACTCCAATAATGAATCTCCTGAGAAAGAAATAAGAAAAATTATTCAATTCACAGTAGTTTTTAAAATACTAGGAATAAATCTAATGAATGATTTATGTAAACTATAAAACACAGAATTAAAAAAAATGGAGAAGTCCTTATATGTTGAGATCTTTCATGTTCTTAGATAGGAAGAATTAAACATCATACAGATCCAGTACAATTCTTAATATTTTAGTGAGCTTTTTTATTGCTGTAACCAAAAGAACTGATATGAACCATTTTAAGGAGGAGAAGTTCATTTAGAGCTCATGGTTTCAGAGGTCTCAGTCCACAGGTGGCTGGCTCCATTCTTTCGGGTACAAATGAGGCAGAACATCATGGCAGAAGTTTGTGGAAGAGGAAAGCATCTGAGAACATGGCACCCCGGAAGCAGAGAGAAAGAGCTCTGCTCAACAAGGACAAAATATATACCCAAAAGATACCCGCCCCATCAGGGTATCTTTAGCAACAATTTACCTGCCTACATTTACCATACAGTTAATCCCTCTCTGGGGACTAATGCACTGATTAGGTTGAGACTCTCATAACTCCATCATTTTTACCTCGAAACTTTTGTGGGGCACTTCATATCAAAACCATAATACCCCAACATATATGAGTGTTTGTGTTGCCAGTTCTGCAAGGAAGGTAACAAGATTATATTCCTATGCAAGGGTGTGAAAAACACTGGGTTACTTTCAAAAGACAACAAAGTGAAAACCACAAACTAATGAGTAGGGTAAATAAGAATTTCAGCAATTTTAATGTTGACAAGTTCTGCATTTCTATTGTTTCAGTCCTACTACTGCAACTATTACTTATCAGCAAAGTATTATCGTTGGGGTGATCACCAAAGTGGCAGTGTAAAGAGCCGCTTCTCATGTGCTCTGGGGTTTGGAATTTGATTGACTGGTCTGTGGCTTCATAACAAGCTAAGTGTATGAAGAAAATTATTATAAATTATTGTTTGTCAGAGATTCAGAAATGACCAGAAATTCTGGTGTAGTGAATGGAGAAATACCCTAGAACTTGGAAGCAACAGTGGTGCTATGTCACTTCAGCGGGTAGGGAGGGAAAGAGAAAAAGAAATACTGAGGATAGAGTTGGCATGAAAATGTTGTCCATATTTTTCAACTTCCAAGTGAAGAACATGTAGAGATCCAGCTGAAGGAGTTTTGGCTGAATCTTGTTCTTGTCCTTTATATTCATTGTATAATAATAAATAGTGTATGAATGACTGCAAAAAAAAAAAAATATGTAACACCAGGACAAAGAAACGAATCCAAAGACAGCTAAGAAATTAGATGGTGCTGGGGCAAGACTGAACAAACTATATTATCAGTATGCATGAATATGGCATAATGAATCTCAATATTATGTATACTTATAATGTGCCATTAAAAAGAAAATTAGAATTATCAGACAAGAATATTAAATCAGCTTCTCAGAATTTTCAAGGATTTGAAGAGAAAAAGTATGTAGACAAGATCTCAGAAAATTCTAAATCATAAAAAAATTTCTAGATTGAATAGTACAATACCTGAAGGTATCATAGCAACCATAATGATATAGCACTTCTATAAATAATACATATATCAAAGAAAAACTCCAAATAAAAATTAGGAGATATTTTGAACAGAATGTTCATGAAAAATATCAAAATTTGAGGGATGTTATTAAAGCAGCAATCAAAAGGAGAATTTCAGCTTTGAAACATTATGTGTTAAAAGGTTAATAAAAGTGTTTAAATTTTATGTACTTTCTGCCTTAAGAAAGTAGAAATTAAAGAGTAAATTAAGCAGAAAAAATGTGAAAATAATAATGGTAAGACAGTAAATCAACGGAAAAGTAAAAATCAACAAAACCAAAAAACATTTTTTAAAAAGTAAATAAAATCAATAAAATTGATGAATTTATATTTATGTTGGTCATGAAAAAAATCATATAAAACACATGCTTCAAATTGAAAGAGTAAAATGGTATGCAATTATGATGGTTAATTTTCTGTGTCTATGTGACTGAGCTAAAAGATTACCAAATTTCTGAAAAAATAAACATAGCATCTGGGTTTATTTGTTAAGATATTTGGCAAGAGAATATTATCTGAATTTTTGAACTGTGTAGAGCAAATGGTCCTTCCCAATGTCAAGGGGCATCATCCAATCTGTTGAAGACTCAAATATAAAACAAACAAAACAAGAGTGAAGGAAAGATAATTAAATCCCATTTTTTGAGTTGGAGTATCCTATTTCCTTTTGGCCTCAAACATTGGTGCTTTTTATTCTCAGCCATTTTTATTCAGATTCAGTTATATAGCTAATTTTCCTAGTCTTCCAGTTTGCAAGTAATTAACAGATCATGGAACTTTTCAGCTTCCATAATTGTGAGAGCCGTTTTCATATATAACATAAAAAGTATATCATTAATTAAGTGCTTAAAAATTTAACCTTGAAAAAGTCCACAATGTTCACAAAACATAATGCAGAAAACTTTGTTTTCCTTTTTTTAGCACATTTTTAAAGTTGTAATTCATACATCATAAAATGCATCAATTTAAAGAATGCAATATATTATTTCACTATTATTGTTTTTAACGTATTTATAGATGTATGCAACTATCACTACAATCTAAGTTTGAAATATTTCTATTCTTTTTGAAAGAAATCCAAAATATATCACCAGTCATTATGTATTTTCTCCCAATGCCCTGTCCCTAGGCAAATGGTAGTCTACTTTCTTTTTCTATGTGATTACATATTGTAGATAACTCATATAAGTTAAAATCATAAAAAATGCGGCCTCATAAAACTAGCTTCTTTCACACTGTAGCATGCAATGGTACTTCATTTTATTGCTGAGTAATACTCAGTTGTATGAATAGTCCACATTTCATTGTACATTCATCAATTAATGGGCATTTAATTTTTTTCTTCAGTGAATCTACTTTACATTAACCTATGTTGTAAGCATTTGATTAATATTGAAATTATAGATCACTTACATGTTACTTATGTAGATGGACTTGTCAGTAGATGTCAACAGGTAGATATATCTTTAAAATTCTCCTACTGCTTTGTCCACAATGTTAAAGTCTGAAAGTTTTACTATTTGTCCACAATGTTAAAGTCTGAAAGTTTTACTATCTATTTGGTGAGGTTATCTTTTAAAATCTGAATACTGTAATATGAATTAAAACATGTTTTTTTCTGTATATGTTAGACTTCATCATTGCATCTCTATTTTTAGAATCTTTATTTTGTATCTTTTTTTTTTCATTCCCAAAATGTGATAGTTAGTTCTCCATAAATATAACAAATGCATTAGATAATCAACTTAAAAAGCTCATGGCTTCAGAATTTTCAGTCTATTGTCATTGGACCCCATTGTTTGGGCTCAGTGGTGAGGCAGCATACCATATTGGGAAGTGAATGATATATAGTAAAGCTGCTCACTTCATGGTGGCCAAAAAGCAGGAAGAGACAGAAGAGACTAGAGACTGACATCCCACAATCTCCCTTGATGGTGTATCCCCATTGACATAAATCTTCTCACTTATATCCAACCAAATTATTGTCTTATGTTTGTTCTTATTGTTTAGCTTATAAATTTCATGCCCATAATCAATCCTTGAATTTTTTTTAATACTTTGAAGCAATGATCAAAGTCACTTTATTTTCAAAATGTGGATATCCAGTTATATCAGGATAAAGTGTTGAAAAGAATTTCCTCATTATATTAAAGTAATTTTCCAGGTACTTAAAAAAATAAAATGATGACATTAATGTGAATTTACTTCTGAGAACTGAAATAAGTTTATCTCTTTGTTGATTTGTATGTCAAAGCCACACTTTCTTGATGATGCCATCTTCTACTTTTACCCCTAGTTTGAAGTCACATAGTTTATATTTTCTACCTTTGTTCTAATTTTTTTTTAAAGATTACCTTAGATATTTTTATTTCTTAACATGGCTATATGAATGTTATATTTAGCTTGTTAAATACTTTAAAATGTAATAATACAAAATAAACTTTATTTTTGCTTTGTTTTGAAGAAATTTTCAAAGTTTCAGACTTACACTTCCATTTTATAACAAAAGTATCTAATCATAATGTCCCATAAAACTTCATCTCTTGATTTTTTTACAGATATGAATATATTAACTGATATCCAAAATAATCAGCATAACTATGAAATTTCTACATTTCAATTAACAGATCATGTACTGCTTAAGCTGAGAAAACTTTGATACTGCTTTAGCCAGCTTTTTTGCCTCTGTGACCAAAGGATCTGAAAAGAACAATTAGAGGAGAAAAAATTTATTTGGGGGCTCATAATTTCAGAGGTCTCAGTTCATAGATGGCCAATTTAATTCCTCAGGGCTTGAGGTGAGGCAGAATATCATGGTGGAAGAGCGTGGCAGAGGAAAGCACCTGGGAACATGGCACCCAGGAAGCAGAGAGAGTGAGCTCTCCTTCCCATGACAAAATATAAACCCCTCATTCATGCACTCAAGGACCCACCTCCTCCAGCCATAGCCTACCTGCTTGCAGTTACCACTCAGTAAAACTCTTATCAGGTGATTAATTCACTTATTGGGTTAGGGCTCTCATTAACCCAATCATTTTACCTCTAAATTTTTTTGCATTGTTTCATACATAAGCTTGTGGGGAACATCTCAGATCTAAATCATAGCAGATATTAATGGTCTTGTGATTTCCAATTATGTACTTTCCAGAGATTTTCAAAAACTAAACAGAAGTAGTGTGTTAATACAACAAAACCTATTTAGTAAAAATAATGTCCCCATTAAAGTTATTTGTGCATCCCAAAGCTAACTTCATTCTCTAATTTCATTTTTTGGCAGGTGAAGGGGTTGAATTTAGGGGCACTCATCCACTGAGCCACATCCCTGCCCTATTTTGTATTTTATTTAGAAACAGGGTCTCATTGAGTTCCTTAGTGCCTCGCTATTTTGCTGAGACTGTCTTTGAA